GAGGGGAGGGAGGGGGGAAGGGGGGAGGGGATTAGCTTGTTTTGTGCTGACCCGGGGCTCGAACTCGGGGCCTGGGCGCTGTCCCTGAGCTTTGGCCCAAGGCCGGGGCTGGGACTCGAACTCGGGGCCTGGGCGTTTGTCCCTGAGCATTTTTTGCCCAAGGCTTGGCGCTCTACCACTTGAGCCGCAGCTCCCACCACTGCCGGCTTTCTTGGTAATTTACTGGAGATCAGAGTCTCAGGAACTGGGCCTACCTGGGGCTGGCTTCGAACCAGGATCCTCAGATCTCACCCTCTCTCCCAAGGAGCCTGAGCCAGTGGTGCCCGGTCTTGATGTTTTGTGTGCGCACCTCCCCTGATGGGAAGTTTTTTTGATGTGTGGCCTCTTGAACCTTTCATTTCTCTGTCTTTCCCCCCAGTCTCCAGCATCTCACATACAAGGCCCAATCCCTAGAAATCCAGGATGGCGACTCTGATCTTTGTTGACAAGGAGAATGGACAGCCAGGCACCCGTATGGCTCCTAAGGAGGGGCTGAAGCTGGGGTCCGGGCCTGGTAAGTGTGCCAGGCTTGCTCACGTTGCTCAGGTACTGGGAATGAACCAGGTGGGTGTGGTCCCCAGCCCTGCCCAGCCTTTTAGGTGAGATTCCTGGGCTATTAGAGTCAGCTTTGTGGAACTTTTCTAGCTCAGTTTTATAAGGTGATGGGTTAAGGAACTGAAGCCCAGGGCTGTTAGGGAAGTGAAGGCTCTGCCACTGGCCTGAAGTGAGGGTCAGGTTGGGGGGGGAGGGGGTGTGTGGATTAAACTGATAGACACAGGCAGCATTAGCGTTAATGATAGAGGCGTGTATTCTAACAGTCTCACGGTAGAGTTTTACTCTTCAGTCAAAGCCTTAGATGGGAGAACGCAGGTTTCAACACCACGCGTTGGGAAGGTCTTCAATGCTCCATCGGCCTTACCTAAAACTGCCCGGAAGGCCTTGGGAACGGTTAACCGGGCTACAGAGAAGCCAGGGAAGACTAACGGACCCCTCAAACAAAAGCAGCTGAGCTTCACTGGCAAAAAGGTGAGTGTGGGCTGTAACATGCTGGCTAAAAAACGTTTGTGTGCTTTTTTGTGTATATGTGCTGGTTATGGGGTTTGAACTCTGGGCCTGTGTTTTTGCTCAGCTAGCTTGTTGGCTCTGCTAGTGCTCTACAATCGTGAGCCATGCCTCTAGTCTGTTTGTGCTGGTTTTGTGTTTCTTTTGGAGGTGGATGCTCTCAATCTTCTGCCTGCCTATTCTGGCTTTGAACCGATAACCTCAGCTAAGGTTGCAGGCCCACTTTGGATATTTATTTATTTATTTTGGCCAGTCCTGGGGTTTGAACTCAGGGCCCAGGCACTGTCCCTGAGCTTCTTTTGCTCAAGGCTAGCATTCTACCACTTAAGCCA